AAATCGCCTCAGTGGTTGTTGAGTTTTTTAAATAAAACTTTCGAATTTTGCAATTAAAAAAAAGGGAAAGTTGGAAAATTTTAGAGTGGGATAACTTTGAAGTTGGAAAATTTTGAAGTGTGTCAAGTAAAGTGGGTTTAACTCAAACTTGATTGAAGTTTGAGTTAACTTAAATTGCAAATGCGTTCTTTGTGAAATCACCCTAAGGGTAATGCCACAATGGATGCAACGCTAAACGCATGCAACGCATGAAATAATTATCCAACTGTTTTCTGAATATTTCTGACAATGACTAGAGCGTTGCATATAGCGTGCGCTGCATTCACTGTGGCATGACGCCAGTGTTTATTAAATCTGCGAAGAAACTTTCCTTCTATGGGTATTTCCCCGGAGAAATGTGAGAAAAAGATTGAATAAATACATAATAAAAAAATCAGGCCCAGTCGCGCGCTCCCTCTTTGGGGTATGACCGGTAGGAGTTGGTGGAATTGGGTGTGACTCATTACGGGTCGAACCAATACCTTCCCGACCATTTGTTTTTGTTGACGCTGGAGTCATGCCACAGTGAATGCGGCGCACGCTATACGCAACGCTAGTCATTGTCGGAAATATTCGGAAAAAAGTTGGATAATTATTTCATGCGTTGCATGCATTTAGCGTTGCATCTATTGTGGCATTACTCTTAGGGTGATTTCGCAAAGAACGCATTTGCAATTTAATTTAACTCAAACTTGATTGAAGTTTGAGTTAAACCGACTTTTTACTTGACCCACTTCAAAATTCTCTCAACTCCGAAGCTGATCCACTTAAAAATCTGCAACTTCAAAGTTGACCCACTTCAAAATTTTCCAACTTCAAAGTTGACCCACTTCAAAATATTGTACTCTAAAATTTTCCAACTTTCCCTTTTTTTTTAATTGTAAAATTCGAAAGTTTTATTTAAAAAACTCAACAACCACTGAGGCGATTTTGCTCAAAATCCAATGAGAACCAAGTTATCTGGAGACGCATCGTTTACACAAAATTTATTCCAATCCCATCGTTACCTTAGGTAAAATGGTCGAATTTCTATGACATTAACGCTTTTTGGCATTTTTTTACAAGTTTTATGTGAATAAATAAAAAAGTGCTGAGTCAATTATTATCATAAACTAAGGAGTTCTAAGTTACATGAACACGCATCGTTTGAAGGAAGAAAAAAATCAATCGCTTCATTGGTTCAGGAGATATCGTTGAACAAAATTTTGGTCACATACGTACACACACCTACACACACACACACACACACACACACACACACACACACACACACACACACACACACACACACACACAGACATGTCTTCAAAAATGTATCTGGATGATTCCGGAGGTCGAGAAATGTGGAGAAATCATCAAAATTCCACATTCGGTTTTCGGGGTCATTACAATAACTTCCTCCCTTCGGGTCAGGAAGTTGAAAAGTATTTCGAAAAAAAAAATCGTTGGAATTTCATTTTGTTAATTTCTTGATACAAAAATCGAATTTCCAATTCTTGGTGGTTGGGGACGAATTCGACTCACCATGGAGGAAAAAAAATGCGGATGAAGTAATTTTTCTAGGTGAATGCAATGAATTTTGAAGAGATTGTCATTCCTTCACATGTTTTATGCGAATAACTAAGAAACTGCTGAGGCAATCGTCCTCATATACTCATCGGTTCGAAGTTTTTTTTAACACTCATAGATTGAAAAAAAGATAATAATCACATCATTTCTCCGCATAAAATCTTTGAATTTTTGTCATTTTCACACATATTTCATGCGAATAACTAATAAACCACTGACACGGTCACCTTCATACACTGATCACTTTCAAGTTACATGAACACGCATCGATTGAAATAAAAAAAAATGAGAATGATAAGATTTCTTCGGATAGAATCATTGAATTTTCACGAAATCGTCATTTTCTACATATTTTATGCGAATAACTAAACAACCGCTGAGACGATCTTCTTCATACACTGATCACCCCCGAGTTACATCAACACGCATCGATTGCAATAACAAAAATGCGAATGACATCATCTCTCCGGATGAAATAATTGAATTTCCAAGAAATCGTCATTTTTTCACATGTTTTATGCGAATAACTGACAAACAGCTGAGGCGATCGATCTCATAATCTAATCAGTTCTAAATTACATCAAAACGCATCAATTGAAAAAAAAAAATTCGAATCGCTTCATTTGCTGAGAAGATATCGTTGGACAAAATTTTGGTCACATACGTACATACACACACACACACACACACACACACATACAGACTTGTCTCCAAAAACGTTTCAGGATGATTCGAGAGGCCGAGAAATGTGGAGAAATCATGGAAATTCCAAATTCGATTTTCGGGGTCATTACAATAACTTCCTCCCTTCGGGTCGGGAAGTTAGAAAAGTAATGAAAGAAAACACAAATGGTCGGGAAGTTATTGGTTCGACCCGTAATGGGTCACACCCAATTCCACCAACCCCTACCGGTCACACCCCAAAGAGAGAGCGCGCGAAGCGCGCGACCGGGCCTGATTTTTAATCTGGTAATCAACTGATGATGCCCATCTCCAATGGTAATGATAACTTGGAACACGTAAATACATAAAACATAACTACCATGCATTTTAGCACTTTGCAAAGTTCTTCGTGATAGGAAGAAAATTGTGTTCGAGTGTATCGAAAAGGCGATACTCCCGAACTAACAATTAGGCTCACTCAGGAAAATTTACTACTAATGTCAGATGATTCTTTATTTATTATTAATTTGGAAGGGATTAAAAGATTCATTAATGGTGTTGCAATTAATAGCTTGGTTTAATTCAAGATTTATATAATTTGCAATTCGATTCATTATGTGAATTTGATTTGGTTATGTTAATATTCTTTAGTTCTTTTTAATATAATTTGAGACATTATTTGACGAGAACAACGAAGATTCTTATCATGTTAAGTTTGGATTTATAGTAGAATCCTAACTATTTGACCTCTTACAAAAGCAACTGTTGTCTAGCTGCCACACATGACGAAATGTCCATTCTTGGAGATTCGGTAATTTTTGTGGAGACCGCTCAATATATTTTCATGGGAACTTTTCTTCGTGTAGGGAATATCTGACTTGTCAAATCATTGTGTCTTTGAATATTCTCATTTTTCCATATAATGCAAACTGTGTTTGTATCAGAAATAATATTGTCAATATAATTCACATCATCGATTCAAAAAACCATTAAAAATGGTAATCTTTATCCTTTAACATTTTCAGATACAAATGGAACTGAACGCGAAAATAAACTGAAAACACTGGAATGATATAAACCCGTGGATTTGGCGTGAAATCAGTGACTCCTGCATTTTTATTAAACCTGCGTTCATAAATAAGATTTCAAAAGTGATTGTGAATGAGAAACGTGAAAACTATTTTTACATGTAACAGTGTGGCCGCTGAAATCGGTAAATCCCCGTGATTCAATCGAGCGAGAGTGTGAAGACGGTGGAGGTGGGTGGATTTGTTTTGGTTGGACAGACTATAATCTGACCGGGTTCACCGGGTAAATGAATGTGTTTGCCCCAGGCATTCGTGATAGTGATAGTGAAATCGAGGGACGACAGGGGTGCTCGATTTAAACACATAAATGTACGTGAGGAGTCCACAATGGTGGCCTGGCTCCCGCAACAAATTCTACTGCTTCTCATACTCGGTGAGTAGAAGTGACTCTCTATATTTAGGAACCAACCAGGTTATGTGAATTGACTGTAATATATATACTGTGCCAGAATCTCCTCGTTTTTTCATATGTTTCGTTTTTTTCATCTTTTCAGTTTCGTTCATTGCACCATTCGCGTATTTTTACGAAAGAATAACCCAACACTGCTATCAAATATTCAATAAAAATTACAGAGCCTTTAAATTTCTATAGTTTGTAGTGTTTTTTTCTCTCGATTTTTAATTCTCGACATGCGCGGAAAAACACTCGCTCTATTGTACTAGTACTTTCTAAAGGGGTTTTGGTAGTAATGGAATCAATTTCAAGCAGAGTTCCGATAATTGGGAGGATAAAAAAATTGCGTGGGCGAGTGACAAAATTCAAGGCAAAACAGATGGCCTCTCGACTCGCGAATGTTTTTTCAACGTTGATGGGGGGACTATTTGTTTCGAATGTGAAAAAAAACCTGCGAAATGTGAATACTAATTGAACGCTGGCGTGAAATAAAACGATTTTCACCTGAACAACGATTTTTACGATTTGAAATATGCAATTGAATTGTACGAACGCGAGTAAAAAAATGAATGAATTGGAAAAAAGAGGAAATGAGAAAAACCTATAGAACAATTTTTTTGGTAAACTATTTCAATAATTGGACTGGAAAAGTCAACAGATGGATTTCTGATTGACATGCAGTATGCGAGACGATATGGTTCGTATATAAATGGAAATAGCAGATTTCATCGTGCTGTGTGCAGACTGGAATTCTGCACGCTCCCCATGTATGTAAAATCCAACGCCATGCGCCTTATGATGAAAAGCAATTGTTCTAACAATTAGAATGATACTACCTGCTGTGACCGGCGTTGCTTGGGTAATGCTCTTCTTTTGTATTTTATTTCCATAATGGAAAATGGTTCCAGAATTTCCCCTAATTTTCTGGCACAGTTTTGAATTCTCTAGAATTTTCTAGAAAACTTCGGAATTGTTACATTTTTTTCAAAGCAGAATTTTTGAGAAATTTTGTAAATCAACTACCAGCTTTCTTGAATTTTCCATTGAATTCCCCTTTAAGCTCGAGACGGTTCTAGAATTGTCCAAAAGTATCTATGTTGCCTGTCGCAGTGTGCAAAACCGTTCAGTTTTTTTCATTTTTCTAGAAGACTCAAACACTTCCTCGAATTTTTCGGAAATCCTTCGAATTTTGTTGAATGTTCTATAAAAAATCCAAAAAGTTCCTCAAAATTACTACGTTAAACAGTAAATTTTAATGTATGGTGAGTATGGCCCTGCGTCTAATTTCTCATATTAAACGTTACTATGTTTCGATAGTAAAAAATATTATACATTCTTTCCGTGTAGCTTCAGTAGTTTAGGTTATGCGTTTATACCGAAGTCATCCGAGTGGAAATTCCGCTCAGGCCATTTGAAGGATCAAAAATGGATCCGTCTGTTCGACTGATCAGGTGAGACCTGATCAAAATCTGGTGAAAAGCTGATCCGGTGTTTCTGAGGTCAGGCAGCCTGAAATCACTTTGATCAGATTCGGATCTGGTCATCCTAATTTCAATTTGAGCAGAGTATCCTGAGATGAATCTGATCAGATTCAGATTCTATCATACTCATGTCAATTTGAGCAGGGCATCCTGAAATAAATAATATCAGATTAGACTTTGATCACTCTGATCTTAATCTAAGCACGGCGTCAGTCGCTTCAAGGGTCATACGTAGCAAGGATCAGATGTTTTAAGGTTCACAAGAGTCAGATGGTTAAAAGACTCAAAGTCTTATGGGTCAAATAGTTCAAGGGTCAGACGTGTCAAGGGTCGAATGTCGTAAGGGGCAGCCATTTAAAGGGTCAAGCGGCTCAAGGATCTAGCATTTTAAGACTCAAATATCTTGTTTGAAGGGTCAGGCAATATACAAGTCAGCTGATTCAAGGTGCAAAAGTCATCATAAATCATAAGGGTCAAATGTAAACAGAAAGATACACGGAGGGGGAAAACGATAGTCGGCTGGTAAGGGGGAGTGGAAGGGGGATGCTGGATAAATTCATCCCTGCTATCATAAGTCTATCAGAAGTCTATCTAGAAATTGTTCGTCAGAGATTCACATTGTAAGATTAGTGCGGTAGTCTAGTAGTTAGGGCGTAGATTAGTAATCGTAGGATCCCGGGTTCGAAACCAACCGTGGGCGGAATAATGTGCGATAACTGAATCGGCTTTTTCTGCGATAAATACATTGCGGAGTGACCAATGAGATCACAAATTTTTTTAAAATTTAATCATTACTTTTTGTTAATGACTGTGAGTAATGAAACTGGACGCATTCGTCCGATTCGGATCCATGAACCTTGATCAGATTTGGGTCCGCCAGACCTGATAAAATTCGGATCTAAAACGGCGTTACACATTTGATCACGACCTGATCAAATCACATGATCACAGTCTGAACCTACGTCAGGGCCGACCTGATCAAACCCTCAGTTTTCCGGAGTTTAGATTAGACACTGATCGGATACTACTCAGGATTGCCTGATTAGATTTTCGCATCAGGATCCGGTTAAATTCTGAACAGAGTATCTGGATTCAATGTGGCAGAATAAATTCTGATCCCAATTCGAATCAGTCAAATCCCGACTGGATCCGTATCAGCTCTGGTACTGATCAGAAAGATTCGATCGTAGTATTTCGATCAGACATGGATCCAAACAAACCTTACATTTCTGATCCAAAACTGATCATAACTAATTGTTACTAATGAGTTTCTTATTCTAATCCGATTTGAGTTTCCACTTGAGCACCTCGGAAATAGCATTCTCCTTTATATATCCATGGAAAAAATATATCCTTCAATCAAGTATATAATATTCTGTTATCCGGAATATCTGTATTCCGGAATCTGGGATCTTATATTCTGGAATCCGGAATAATATTCCGGAATTCGAGATATTTTATTCTTGATTTCGGAATAATATCCCGGAATCTGAGATATTTTATCCTCAATTCCGGAATAATATTCCTGAATTCGTTATATATACAGTAGACTCTTGTTAGTTGCACGCCCGTTAGTTGCGCGTCTGCCTTTAATATAATCCCTTTCTCGAACGCTCGAGGTGCTGCTTCTCACTCTCGGCCGCCTTATCGCTTTCTTCCTCTGTATATAAACTCAAAAGTCCAAATAATGTTATTCGAAAATAAAACTATGCATTCCCTCTCATTTTTCTGAGAACTTGGATCGGCAGTGGTTGAGAAGTGGGGTTCTGTGGAAAGTTGTGAATTTCTTGGAAATGGTGTATCCTTATAGCCCGTTCAATGCGCAAGTAGCCACTGTGATTTTCAAATGAATTCTCAATCGATATTGCGATAAATTCTTTCTCTGGTCGATAACGTACGTCAAATTGGTGACTTGAAGCGAAGAGGAAAAAGAAAAGGCAACGAACAAAGTGACATAATTATACTGTGATGAAGGGCAAGTTTGGGGCACTCAAACCTTCACCTCGTTTAGTGTCTAGGAGTAGTTCTCAGACTGAGGACCTCAATGACCTCCCAGCAATTTCAAACTGTTCACGAGTTTGCTGGTGACAATAATAATTCAGAAATTCCGATAGAATGTCCCAAATTACGACCAATGTGAAGCCCCTTGAAACCCACTAATAATATGCAGAACGGCCAATTGCAGCCAAAAGGGTGATTCCGTAGAGAAATAAGAACGCATGAAAATACTTGCCTGAATGCTCTTCATGATTATTGCCCGATTTCACTTAAATTCGGATGGCGCGACGTCCGAATGGTACATGCCGTCTCTTATGGACGCACGGTACAATATTTCAGTGCGAGGAAGTCACCGGAATATTATTCAAAAATTGAGGATAAAAGATTCCCGATCCCGGAATATTATTCTAGAATCGAGAATTAAATATTTCGGATTCCGGAATATTATTCCGAAATTAAGGGTAAAATTAAGTATCCCAGATTACGGAACATTATTCCAGAATATAATATAATACACCGGATTCAGGAATACAAATATTCCGAATTCCAGCATATTATATAAAACATCCAAGGATATTTTTGTTCCGGTGTGAGAGAAGTGGGTTTGGTGGCCAGTTTTACGGCGATCCAATTTTTTAAATATTCAAATTAAGATTTAAGCGATAAATACTAGATAAGTCTAGAATATTCTGCAATACTGACAGACTACCTAGAGAGTGTAAAAATGATGTAAGAGTCTCGTAGGTCTCAAATCAGTCGAGAAGTTTTTATAAATTTTTACGGTAATTTTACCATAAAATTACGGAAAATTAATACGAAAATTCTCTCGCAGAAAACCGCTGCATTTATCTGCAGATTTTTATAACTTTCCAGAACCTTCCATAATTTTCCGAAGCGTTCGCTTCCGAATTCATTGCGAAATTCGTAAAGATTTCGAAAACATTCTTGAGTTTTCTGGAACACTGCATCGGAAAATTGTAGACCTTTCTGTACCATTGGGACCGTTATTTACCGATGGCAACGTGGTGATCGCCTTGATAACATGGACGCCCGCTGGCTAACCCGTTGAAACCCGTCCATTGTAGCTGACAGTAATAGTTCCTCTTCGACGTATTCATTCGTGTATTGTTTTTTATTATATTATTATACTTGAAGTCTCAAAGGTGTTATTTTTTAGAACAACTTGAAGAGTAATTGAATGAAGCGCCAATCATAAACCATTGGATCATAAACCATAAATCATAAACCATTTTTCTTAGGGAATGCTGCGATACCCACCAGGCATCGCAGCATCCCCAATTCTGAAACCTTTCTTGAACTTTCTAGAACCTTCAACGAATTTCCGGAGAAACGGACATCTCAAATTATATGCCCTGATTTTGCAATGATACGATGTTTGAATTCATTTGATATCTCCCACCCTCATCATCTTTCCGACCATCTCAATAAATTCAGAGGTTCAATAAATTGGAAGAAAATGGATGTCGCCAAAATCCCAGGTGGGGAATTCCGAGCTTGAACAATGGGGCCAAGCTTGGTATGAGCTTGGATTACCAAACCTCGGTATGCCTAGCTTCGACCACGCTTAATCCTATGGTTACACCTAGGTATTTCCAAGCTTGGTGTTACCCTACCATTCCGAGCATGGAGTCCTAGGCTGTACCAATCTAGTTCCAAGCTTAATATTCCAAGCTTGGACTCGGGGCGTTCAACCAAGCTTGGCTCAACATTCTTTACCAAGATAAATCCGAGCTTCGTGGCACGTACAATTCCAAGGTTGGAGTCCGGAGCTGTACAAATCCAGGTCCAAGCTGGACGTTCCTAGTTTGAACTCAGCACGTTCAACCAAGATACATCCGGCGTTCGTGACTCGTAAATACTATCCTCAGTATTCAGGCTCGATGGCTAGCCTTGGTCTTCCTCCACGAACCTCATTTGAGCTCGGATGACTTGAACTATCATCTCTTTTTGTCTCCAAAGCTCATGACTCTGGCTAGAAAGTCCTAGGACAAGTGCCCGCCGTCTTATCGTCACGTTATTATGTCTGATTGTACACATTCAATAATCTCAAATTTCCACCGTTCTGCCTGCAACTCTAGTGGCGCCCCCTGTTGGTAACCATCACAACAATTTCGTTGAATTACCATCATAACCTCTTGAACGTGTTGTGAAAATTAGTATTGAGTCTTTTTCATTGATCGATAAAAAATGTTTTGGCGTAAATTTTGTAGTTCTCGGGAGAGGGTCAGAAAACATCGATATTTACGAAAAATGCGAGAATTAGATGACAACGCTAGTTTCAATAATAGTGCTGAAGACGATAAATTTACTGGACTACCAAGGACTGCCAATGTGGACAGTGGAGATGAGTGGGTGGATGCAAAGGAATATGGCTGTGAGGATGTGGTTATTGATAGTGAAAAAGAAACCACTGCATCGAGTCATGGGTCATTGTTGGGTGAAAAGTGTCTCGGTGCCTCCACACCGAATGATTCCTTCAATTCAGAAACTTGTGAGGAAAGAATGGATATCTCTAGTCAACAGCAAGTGTCAGCAGAGATTTCAATTGCTGATCAGATGGACGCCTCGATCACTGAACCTCCTAAATGCAAACCTCAAAGTATGGAAGAAAAAATTCGTAAATGGGCTCTGGACAATTTAATAGGCACACGATTGAGGACCATCACTGAGATTCTGATAGTTCTGAGAAGTGTAGGATACACTGAACTACCTCGGACAGCATCTAAGTTACTGGGGTTCAAACACAAAATTAAGACAAAACAATTCATCTCTTCTAAAGGAAGCATCGGTAACTACGTATATCTTGGTATAAAGAATGGCTTGGAGAGTCGTATAATTCCAGAGGTTTATGGTGAAGCAGCTATTCCAGTGCAGGTGCATATTGATGGGATGAAGGTGTTTAAACACTCTAAAGACCAATTATGGCCAATTGCAATGAGGATTTTCGCTCCAAAATACATAGTGAAGTCTTTTGTTGTGGCTGCATTCTATGGAAATTCAAAGCCTAAGAATTAGGGTGAATTTTTAGAGGACTTTGTGCAGGAGACAACAACACTAATTAATGAAGGTGTAACTATTAGAGGACAAAAATACCGATTTGAATTAAAGGCAATAATTGCAGACAGCCCAGCAAGAGCTTCTCTCAAATGTATCAAAGGTCCAACTGCATACTGGGGCTGCGAAAAATGCACCACTAAGGGGAAGACCGTTAATAGGAGAAGAGTTTATCCTAATTTAAACTGCTCGTTACGAACGAAGAAATCGTTTTGTAATCAAACTCAAATTCAACATCACCTGAGAGATCCAACAACAAAGCAAACTTTAGTGTCTCCATTAATTCGAATTCCTGGGTTTCATCCAATAAAAGATGTACCTCTGGAAATCATGCATCTGTTGTATTTAAATGTCATGAAAAACCTCGGTGATAAGTGGGTCACTAGAGAAAAAAGTGAGTACAAATTGCCAAAAGAAAAACTTCAAATATTCAAGACAGCAATGGAGTCATTGACACCATTTGTTACTAAGGAATTTCAACGTAAAAAATTCGATGTGGATGATTTTCTACACTGGAAAGCCACGCAATACTCCTTTTTACTCACGTATGTTGGGGGTATTGTCCTCAAGAATGTTCTCGATACAGATAAATACCAACATTTTCTTTTATTACACGTCACTGCTCGTATTCTTTGCAACAATGAATGGGTGATTAAACATACTGAGATGGCCGCTCAATTTTGAGACAATTTCGTAAAATTAATGCCAACATACTACGGTTTAGACTCGCAGATAATGGTTATCCATCACCTTGGTCATCTAGGAAATGATGCAAAATATTTTCAGACAAGCCTAAGTAATTATTCTGCTTTTTGGGGAGAGAATTTCATAGGGAGATTGAAGAATCTTGTTAGCTCTAAAATTAGACCTCTCTCACAGATCATCAATCGCCTCTATGCCTTAGATTCTTCGGAAGATGTGAAAATAAGGAAACGTGAGCTGATTAGTGATCTCACTGCAAGTAAAGTCATTGAAACTACAGATTTTAATAGGGAAAAATTCGTGTCATTCAATTCTGTCACATATAAAGACAAGATTTTGTGTTCTAAACGCCCTGATAACATCGTACAGCTTTCCAATAACGACATTTTTATAATTGAAAAATTGTTTATCAAACAAAAGTGTTCAATGATTGTGAGAAACACTGATGACATTTTTGTGGAGGGTTTCAGAGTTGAGAGGTCAACGAATCCCTTCATCACGCCGTGTCCTTCAAAGGATGTTGGAATTTTTGCTATTGAACATTTGTCTGATTCATTAGAATTTTTATCATTGCAAAATGTCAAACAAAAGTGCATATTGATCAGAATTGAGGATCGAGATTATGCAATCTCGTTGCTCCACGAATAACTCAATATCTCACCAAACGTAAAAATGATGATTTTGATTCTCTGAATCAATGGCTTCACTAGAGATTTCGAATTTCATGAATGTATCTGATGGATGATAATATAATGAATTGCTATAACTCTGATATCAAAATGTATGAAAATTATTCATCAATAATTATTTTTTCTCGGGTGCAGGAAAAAGTTTGTGTAGTTTTTCCCTTCATAAAAACCAACGACTTCCTCATGTGTAATTAATGAAAAGATCAAGACAAAAAAAAACAATCCACTGAATTCAGTAGTGAATTGGTACAACGGTTAAAGTCAATTTCATCCTAGGGTCCGTTTTCTATGGATATCTCCAAATCTATGGGAGATAGAGACTTTTTTATGAGAACTTTTTTGTAGCCCTTATTCTACTCTCCAAAAAAGATCTTCATGAGAGTTGCGCTATTTCCCTTAGATTCCGAGATATTCATCGAAGACTGACGCCAGGATGAAATTGACTTGGACCGTTTTACCCTGAATTTATCATTTATTTTTCTACCCAATTCCAATAGCGACATTGTTTGTTGAGAATTTTTTCAGCTACGATAATTTTTTTTTTTATATTTTCTCATCTTCCGGCATTCTTCCCTGAAATTACTTGATTCAGAAGTAAATTGACAATTAACATAAATGAGATACGGTTTACCATTTCGCTACTGGTTTTCATTCGGCCATCGACGGCGCTGATCGCTAGTTTGGTAAGAGCGAGTTGTTGGAGGGAGTGAGGTCGGTGGAGGGGGTTCATAGGCGCATAAACTGGCATGAAGGGTGGGGTAGCCGATGTTGCCAGTATCGTGAGGGGATCAGCCGCGTACATGCTTGTCCTCTCTCGTCTGTGCAACGTAACCTCTTTACTGTTTGGAACATTCGCATTTTGGATTAGAAAAGTCTCACATAACCAGTACTGACATTGATGATTCATCTTATTTACGGTTAAAAGTAAAATCTAACGCAAGTATCGTCGGGAAAAGAACTTCTTAATGTTCGTGTGCCACGACGCCATTTTCTGGACTCATTTAGTGTCGAGAAATCCTTGTGGTCGTGCATGTGAATGCAGTTGTGATTCATCGACACAACGCTTTAGGACGTGCTCAGAAAAACTGGAATTCCTTCGTAATTAATGTAAGTATTTGTATGTGAACAAACAAAAGTTCCTTTTGAGCTGTGAATTTCGAGTTATGAAGTCTTAGAAGACTTTGTTTTTTCTTCTGCAAAGAATTTAGAAATCACCGTGTTTAACCTCAAAGTTGAGCATTCAGCGTGTCTCACAGTGTTTAACCTCGAAAGTCGTCAGTTTCATAGTTCTAATATTTTTCTAGCATGAGTGACGACGAACCAACACCGAACCCATACGATATTGTAAAGTTTCATGGTGAGCGAAATGAGGAAGGCCTCCCAGTCCTTGAGATCATTGGTATTAAGTGGTATTCCCAAAGAGATGATGAAACGAAACAGGGCCTGTGTCAATTTCCCCCCAAAGATGATTGAGGAAAATTAGAAAAATGGCTAAAAAATCAAATCGACCCCAAATCTAAATGGGAAACATACAGCGTTGAGATTTTGGCTTCTGCAGGTTATTTTTGTTTAATCGAATGTAATTTCAAACATTTATTTACTTGAAAAATAATAATAATCGATGAATAATCCATAGATTGTTATGAACAAGCACAGAGAAGACTGAAACGTCTGTATAAGAAAGTCACAGATGTGGAATCCACTAATTTTGATTCTGAGGGAGGTAATCAAGTGCATCGTGTATCCAGGACACGAGCAGCATTGATACTGCAATCTACATCCTCACTACAATCTACAACCTCTTTGCAATCCTTGATTGAATCACCTGGAGACCATGACACCTGGAATGTTTCTCGTCGTCGATCAGTGTCTGCGTCCGCTAGTCGTGCTACATCCCCCTATACTCCACAAACCCTAAATGATGGCAATCATCATCAGGTATGACTGAGAACATTGCAACTGCTCCCCTTCAAACGAGAGCAGCAACAAATGTGACCCAGACCAAAGGAGAGAGAAGAATCGAACTTAAAAAACGTCTCGAAACTCTACGCCAGCTGGTGCAAGGACATTCTAACAAAAGTATGCACAAGAATAATAGAAAAGAAAAAAATTAATGAAACGAGCCTATGACGTTTATCAATTTTTTCTAGCTTTTGTCGCTGACTATCTGGATACAAGTATGGAATTATGGGCTTCAAAGGTGCAGAACGATATTGAGAACTCTAGGAGGACGCAACAGCACGACTTGGGTAGGAAAATGGAAGACTTGAAGGTCTCGTTCCCTACTCAAGTTACCACAGGCGATGAGCCAAGTTCTCCATCAGATATCCCAGGAGTAGCATTCCCCATAGCGACTTTGGAGGATTTTGAAAAATTCGAGAAAATGTTGGATCCCAAGGATGAGGCGAACCCAGCCAATCCCGATGCTGCACTGCAGAACCAAGGAGCTCTGGTAAATTCCTTGAATAACTCATACCAATAATGAAGCAGTGATCCTTAAAAAGTCAATTCAGACATTGTTCTTTGAATTATCCATCTTAGCAACCAGTGCTTCTAGTAGAGAATGTCAAGAGACTTTTCTATAGGTGATTTTTTTCCCACAACATATCACTGGACATTTACCCCTAGAATCACTCATTATTGAGGCAATCAATAAATGGACAGAATAAGATTGGTTTACATATTACAAGAGTTTTGGTTAATAATACAATTATCTGGAGAACTAGTTATTTTAGGTGGAAATGTCAAAATGACTTTTTCACAGCTGATCGAATTTCAAACCAATGATGTGTCTTCAAATTTTATCTCAAAATCACTCTTTACCTAGAGAATTTTCTAATTGATTACCAAAATATAATTTGTTGATCATTAAGATGTTTCGTTAAAGAGATAATTATGCAATTATCTCAGGAAAAATCAATTTGAGAAGAAAAGGCCAAGGTATATCCTCTGTAGCTACTTCCATCTCCAACAAAAATTGTCTCTTGACATTTTTCCCTCACATGTTTCATTATCAAGATAATTGGGAAAAACTACTTTCAACATTTCCCCAAGTCACTAGTAAATTATGTTGATAACTTGCAATTTGCTTTTCTCAATGTATCCTTGAATATATTGTCCTTTATTATTTCTGTTTTCAGTAAAACATAATGAAACTCAAGACACAAGGTTCTAATGATTATGAGAAGAACATTAAAATTATTATGCCAACATTAATCAAGAAGGAGGTTCAGGGACATTACAGTGGATTTGGTCGTACGAAGAAAGGCGTAGGAAAGAAAAATTTCAGTGCCACGATGACATTCAAGTGCTTGGAAGGTATGTTGGACGTGAGGTATATTTGTCTGAATGAATTGATGAATTTCCGGTAAGAGATGTGATTCTATTTAATCTGTTGCAGCGTTCCTTGAGCAAAAATTTGCCGGTGGAACAGTAAAATTCATCACTGGATCCATAGTGAGTGCGTGGTTGGGAGACTGGAGTGATCGTGAAGGAGGTGGTGCCAAACGAAAGAGAGGGGAGGATTAGATAGAAAAAAAAACATATTTCCTAAAAATATTATTCCACTTGACTAGTTTTATCTTCAGGATATTTTTTATAGCACTACTTGTTCAAATATCATTACCATTTATCTATAGAATGTATTCTCGAAGAATACATTATTTATTCTTATTCTATATTGTTTATTTATTTATTGATTTATTCCACCAATGTTGAGCCAACGCTGGACCAATCAAGGTTACATGGCTAGATTTTTTTAAATCCTAAGATGTCACAATCCAGGACGAAGCTCGGCCAGAGCCTTCGACCAACTTAGATTGACAAGCTCGGATGAGGCGTTCGTCCAACAATGGGCAAAGCTCGGTGTGTAGCTTAGAGCAACCTCAATTACCAAGCTTGGGTGGAGCTCGTGCACCAAGCTTGGATTAGCGTTACATTTCGGTTTCTAACCGTGATTGGTCCAAGCTTGGATTCCAAGCTCCCGCCTAGCATTGCAAGTCTTGGCCAGAGCTAGGACCAAGCTTGGCCCGATCGTCAATTCCCACCTGGGAAACGTCTGAAGATTCTACGTCTTGATGGGTTCATCGTCTTATCGTTCTGCCGCCGACGTAAATGACTAGTGATTGAATTCTCCAAGTGTCCTGAATTATGTCAGATACGAAATCTCAAATTCGGGGACCAAGATCTTATGTAAATAGTTTGTCTATAAAAAATCTTGTTTTCAGACGGAGAAAACGTCTTGCTTTAAGACATTCGAAATTTCAGTCATCACGGAGTTAGTCTATAAGTTATATTTTGTGTCTAATGTCTCAAATTAAAATGGCTTGAAGGCACTCGTTTTTACAGTAATCCCCTCTGAGAAAAATTTAATAAGAATAAAAATAAAACTTCAATTGGTCAAAATTTTTACCATGTTTCTCGAGAATGGTTACTCTACTCTCTTCTCTATGAAACGCATATTCCTCGTAAGTTCAGTGACACATGGGTTTGTAATCCCATATCTTTAAAATATGCTTACACCGTGAGGAAGAACATGAGTCTCTTTTTACGAGAGCATGAAGATCGGATTGTCCCCGGCGAGTCTTGAATTTTCGTTGTGAATTACTGTATTTCCTCGGGATTTTCATGGCAAAAAAGTAGGAGCTCTATGATACAAACTACCCTCTTCACTTTGAATAGAATCCATTCAAGGAGGAAGGAGAAATAAAATGAAATATGAATTGAATACGCTTTACTACGTTAAGGGGGGGTCACCACTTTTTTTAAATATTTGAAGTATTTAATGAAAAATTTTGACAATTTTTCTTAAATTGCTTCTTTATTAACTGAAATTTTCATTTTTGAATAACATTTTGTTTATTTAACAAAAGCAATCGAGTGATTTCAAATTCTATGCTATTTATTTTGTGGAAGGTCGTCTGAAATATATTTAAAAAATCGTTGAAAAATATTGAAAATTGAAGAACTATAGTAGGGGGTTTTTACGATTCAATAAAAAATGAAAAAGGACGATTTGCGATAGGAAAAGCAAAAAAAAGTTCGGGTGCATATTTCTCATCACAAAAGTCAATTATATCGAGTGAGGGATTCAAAATCTGTCTCTCCCCCTCTCTTCTCTTCCTATATCGTTCTATTCCTTTTTCCAGAGAGGGACCAGTTTATGGAGTCAAACAATTCTGAATATAATTTTCTCGATTTATTATAATCTATTTATATGATTGATTTATTATAATTAATTATTGGTTGAGCTTTCTGTCATGAAAATTTCCATCCAATCATTTTTTTTCCACTTTCCTATTGAAAATTTAAATTTTTTGATTTTTTCGACTCGTAAAAAACATATTAGTCGTACAATTTTCAATATTTTTCGAGGATTTTTTTTCAGTATTCGATATGACCTTCCGCAAAATCGATCGAATGGATTTTTTTTATTTTCATATGGAATTTGAAATTACTTAATTCTTTCTGTTAAATAAAAAATGAATGTTATTGAACAATAAAAACTTCATGATGTTTCATGCCTACACATTTTTGAATATAAAGAAGAAATTGAAGAACAATTTTGCCGTAATTTCTCCCCCCCTCCCCTTAAGGAAAGACCGCACTAAAAGTTCAAAATCGCCCAAGCCTTCATCTATCGTGCACTGAAATAAATGTGAAACGATTTAGTTGCTGTTAACGAGGCTTCTTAACTATTATTACGATTAGTTAATAGAATAATAGTACCTAAATCCTTCTATCAGTATACTGATGAGCTTACCACTCCAGTTTTAATGTAAAACAATAGTGAAAAGTAGGTTTTCATTTTTTGATTGATCAGAAAGAAGCTCACGCACGAAAAAATTTAATAGACAAAGCTAGCGAATTCGGTAGAAAAGAAAAGGAAAATAGCATGAAAAAAACTAAGAAAATTTGAGCCAACGAAAGCCAAATTCTACAGAAAATATCTCAATAGAATAAATTGTATAGAAAAATCGAATTCAATTGACTTTTTCTTTCAAATATTTTCTATTAAACATTTCAATAAAATCAGTCAAAAACTAATAGGAAGTTCAATAGAAGTCCGACAGAATTGTTTAGCCAATTATGTACTTCAATTTAGACAATTGTTCAAAATTTTTCACCTATATCGAATTCCAGAAAAAAAATTCCTCAAATGCAAAAAATTGAGAGTTTCAAAAAATCGCATTTACTTATATTTACACATATTCTGGAGGATTGCATTATTAGGACACTTGAAGATTCCATTCATGAAAGAAGTCGAAACCTATGGTTTATTTATTTATATTAAAACTGAAGTAGTCAACTCATCAGCATGATAAATAAAGGCCCCTACGATTTTGAAATTTCGATGCGGTCTCCCTTTAAGTATTTCAGTGTTTCTTATTCAAAGTACTGTGCGCACTATATATATGATGATTTTGAATCAAAGAAGTTCCTTTCCATCCAGTTAGGTATTGTGAAAACGACCTCTAAAATTGATATTTCTCTTCATCTTAATGTATTTGTTCGTCTGAAAACGACGGATAATAGATGGCGTATCTAGATTTTGATGAAAATGAATGGCCGTTTGGTCTGAAGATAGAGTTAAATCAAACCGAGAGAGAAATCGTATCTTTTCTGCTCAATGAGGAGTGAGTGTGCCACCTTAAGTGAACATTGAGTACCTTTTCTGAAAGAGAAGAACGAAAGCTTTGGTGACAGAGGAAAAGAATGTTTTATTTTCAGGAACATATCACTGATTTTTAGAAATCTATCACTAATCATTACTGATGCTAGACACAGACTAGAATAATCCTAATGAGCAATTATGTCCAGCACTGAAATATGGTGATTGATGCCAAAAAATTTGAGATAAGTTCTCGAAAATAAGTGACATTGTCCTGAAAATTGGTGAAAAAATCACTTAATTTCAGAATTTCATTTCTTTGCTTTATTGGTAGACAAAAATGTGGATGGATCTTTGAAAATCTTCGCTTTACACATTCGAAATTTACTTTGCACACGACTTTCAACTATACGCACTCCATGCAGAAAAAAAAACACGTTACCCATACAACTCCCCCGAAAATTGAACACGGAAGGTGTTACAAAACTTAGTGTGACTATAAGTGCGTGCAAAAAAGTGCAACTTCACGCAGTAGTAGCACAATATACTATTCTAATAGCACTAATATCTAATTCTACTATTCTAGTAGCGGTAATATCACTTTTCATCTTGAGAATGCAAGAACCCAGAGAGTTACCCCTAACACCACTTACTCTTAACGAACATAATGACTTATTTTTACAATAAACCACGTCCCGACTAGGAAATCGTGACCAGGTCTTATCAGGTCCGGATAAGGTTGCCTGATGCGAGAAGTCCGGGCCATATCTGGCTATCAAAGCCTCGTCATGCTCGGCCCGTATCAAGCATGAAACGCATTGGTAGAACAGGGCCCGATCACGTTCAGTGGCTCCGAACCTGATGTACGTCTCTCCTCAGGGCCTGATCCCGTTAATATGAGGTTATTTTTTCGAATAGAAAATTATTTTTTTGTGATTAATTATTGATGGAGAACGATTAATTTTAATTTGTATAGTTGATTTAAACTCTCCCTAAACCCGAAAAAAAAGAAAAAAAATTGCTTTCACGGTTCTGGTGTTCCGTCCCAGTCACTCATCCAGTTACTAACCGCTTTCGAAGCGGCTCAACTTTGATGATCGCTAGAGTCCCGTGTGTCCTGGTCTGCTACTCTGAAATTCTTGAATGTGATAATTCTTATGGGCTATATAAACCGGTAGTTGCGCTTTTACGCATACACACTTGGAGCGAAACCGGTAAACCGATTTAAGTCGACTTATCTCTTCGCTGAGTTTTCCAGCAACATCTCCAAATCTAAGAGAAATAGCGAAATTTCCATCAATACCTTTTTTGTAGCTCTCAATTTACTTTGCAAAAAAGATTATTATAAAAAATTTGCTATCTCCCTTAGGTCCCGAGATATTCATTAAAAACTGACCAATATTCCCAATCGACTTAAACCGGTGTACCGCTTCGCTACTGAATTATTCTCAATACATGTTTTTAGATATTTATTTATCGAATATTAATTATCGACTTGACAGGTTTTCTTCTCAACAATTATTATAATTATTAGTCTTGACCTATACAGTTGATCAGACTCATAAGGGCCAGACGTGATCACTTTCGCTCAACATTGACTATACACGACGAGCTTGCCTTATTCCGAATAGATCAGGGCCAAGTATATGATGTATACGGTATGCCGGAGCCCGGCAAGGCGTATTTCCAGTTAAGGTTGTGGTGTAACTTTTTTTTCGACAGTTTTTTTTAAATTTTTATCGTAGATCGCTCTCAAAATTAGCTGTAAAATAAGCCCATTGTAATTGCAATTGACCGTCTCAAACTTAAGATAAATTTTTTGGAATCTTACATGTTGTTAAATGCAATTTCATCGTTTTTAATTTTTTAAAAAATAACCACTCAACATTTTTTATTTAAAAAAAAACTGTGTAGAAATAATATCAATCAATGCACAGAAAAAAATAGTATATTTCAAACAATATTTTTCATCACAATGTGGCG